CTCAATAATAGTATGGATAATATGCGCAAGACATCTTGGTTATCATTTCATACGATAGCTTTGATCAAAAATATTATTTTTCAGGCACAAAGAGCTATAGCATAATATATTAGGTGCTGAGAAAAAACTTAAATGCATTTACTTATAAAGAAAATTACAAAGTTATAAAATCTAAAAAAATATAGACCTATTTAAGTAAGAATAGTGCCAAATTAAGGAAAAAGTCAGAGTTTCAATCACCAAAACTCGCATCTGAATGTAATTTACTTAAAAATCAATTTTGGCTGATCTTTAGAATATGGTAACTGGTAGTTTGGCGACATTTTGGAGGCAATAAAGGTTACTACCTGGGACTTTGGTAATAATGTGAGCAGTACTCAGTTCCGATTACGCATTATTTTGTGTAAGGGAAATGAGAGATCATGGGATATGTCATGTGATATTAATGGACGAATTACGGTTCTTTAATTGGAAAAGGGGGAAATCGAAAAAAATCTGGAAATTTTGTATTTTGGCTTTATTCTGTGTTGTGTGAAACAGTGTTCGTTAATTTTTGGATCCCATGGCCCTAACTAAAGTGAATTCGAAATGGGTATTTAGTGGGATTGAAAGGGGTAGTAGTAGGTAGTAGTAAAGTGGTAGTAATAAGTGTTTCTTTAAGGTTGTGCGAGATATAAGTAAAGATGTTTTTTAAGTTATTTATTTTACCTGGGTACCTTGCTGTGAACTATAAGTATGATTTTAAAGATCCTGAAACAGAAATAAGAAAAGTTTATCGGACACGTAATCAAGATTCTGAAGAAGATTAGGTAAGTTAGTATTTTGAATTATTTGAGGATATTATTTTTATGTATTGTTCTAAATGTAAGGTGGAAGTAAAGTAATTTGGTATTATTGGGAAAATTGTTATTAGCAATGATTTAGTTTAAAGCAATTAGGATTGTAAGCTAATTTTTATTAATTTAATGTATGTGCTTATTTATATTTTAAGTAGTGTTTTTGAATTTAATTATATTTTAATTAAATGATAGTTATTTTGTGAATTTTATGTTTGTAGGAATTTGGTATACGTTTTAGTTGAAGTAAACGTGCATGGAAATAATTTAAATATTTGACACTAAGTATTTGTAATGCTTGCAGTATGAATTCGTTGGTGACGTTTATAATATAATAGATGATTTAGAGGTAAAAGTTTTTGGATATTTTATTTATTTTATACGTGGAAATGTTCATATTTGGAAAGGGTGTATACTTTTTCGTTATTAGGTAATTTCATATATGTTCTTTTTAACGGGTTTAAAGATTCAGAAAATTGTCATGCATTTTCGTGAAATTTTTCTAATTTATGAGAAAAAAAAAAGGAGTGTACATGGATATGGTGAAGAGTGTGCGCAATGCCTTTTTGTGCAATTCTGGGATTTTTTTTAAAGTAAAAATAAGTCGACGTGTACATGGGTTTTAGTGATATTTTAATTAAATGATAGTTATTTTGTGAATTTATGTTTGTAGGAATTGGTATATGTTTTAGTTGAAGTAAACGTGCATGGAAATAATTTAAATATTTGACACTAAGTATTTGTAATGCTTGCGGTATGAATTCGTTGGTGACGTTTATAATATAATAGATGATTTAGAGGTAAAAGTTTTTGGATATTTTATTTATTTTATATGTGGAAATGTTCATATTTGGAAAGGGTATATACTTTTTCGCGATCAGGTAATTTCACATATGTTTTTTTACCGGGTTTAAAGATTCAGAAAATTGTCATGTATTTTTGTGAAAAATTTTTCTAATTTATGAGAAAAAAGCAGGGTACATGGATATAGTGAAGAGTGTGCGCAATGCCATTTTTGTGTAATTCTGGGATTTTTTTAAGTAAAAATAGTCGACGTTTAGTCGACGTGTACATGGTTTATGTGTATGTGTTATTTTGAAAAACGCGTAAGGAGTATGGTATTTGTGCACTTTTTCCCAATTTTGCAGTGAATATTTGTCATGATTAAGCAGTTTTGTTAGATAAAATTTCTAGCATAAGTGTAATTCGGCTAGTAGATTGTTGGAAGAAGTGTTCAGTAGATAAAAAGAAAAGAAACATGTCTTTACTTCGTGAAGACAAAATGGCGGCGGGAAAAAAAAATAGAGGGTTGCTGGTAGTTTGGTAGTAGGAGAGTTGGTCGCCAAAAGATCGCCAAGTTACCATAATGTAAAGATCAACCTCAATTTCTTTTCTTAATTCAGTCTTTATGTTTTTCTTATATTGAATATATACTCACTTCCAAAAGTTAAGCACGAAGATGTAAAATGCAAAAAAAATCAACAAATACTGCTTTGATTGACACAAAATTTGGCAGGAAAGTAGCATATATATTTATGCATAGAACAAAATCAATAATTATGTACAGAAATGAAAACAATATTAAATTTTTGTAAGTTATCAGATAATGACATACTGGAGACTTAAACAGAATTATGTATAAAGTGAAAATAAACAGCATAAAATAAAAAAAAAAGAACATTAATAGGGTATGTGATCCCCCCCCCTCATCTGTATACAAAGTTTATGTGACCATGGTTTCAATTAGGTGGTCAACCACCGCAGAATTAAGCAATCGCCATTCTTCTTGTAGAGCAGTTTCCAGCTCAATAAGAGTGACTGCAGATGGGAAACGTGGCCCAGAGCATCCCAAAGATTTTCAATGGGATTAAGGTCGGATGAATATGCTGGCCACGCCATACATGCAATCCCTTCACTCTCCAGGTAGTCATCGACGATGTCAGCTCTATGGAGATGTGTGTTATCATCCATTAAAACCGAAGTAGGGCCAACTGCTGCAGCGTACAATCTCACAATGGGTTCTAGGACTTCATCTCGATACCAGGCAGCCGTTAAAGAATCCCGCTTAAAGATGTACAGGTCGGTGCGGTATCCTAATGAAATCTCTGCCCACACCATAATGCTTCCGCTTCGGAATGCGTGATGTTTTGGGACTGACTGCGTGTTCGTTGTTCACGCCATATCCTCATACGCTTGTCATCTGGCTCCAGAGCAAATTTTGAAACATGACATTGCCCCAGTCAGACACATTCCAATTGACATGTTCTCGGCACCACTGTAATCGTGCCCGTCTTGATTGGACGGATAGAGAAACATAAACTTCGAAGGTACCTAGAGCGTACAGACCACTTCATATGTAATCTTCAGGTATACAGTAGTTGCAAGATATCGTCTCACCAATGGACGCTGTAAACCATAGATGGTCACACGTGTGGAGGTCGCTCTGCGATTCCTCTTGGCTACAATAGCAGTATATAACGATCTTCTACGCGGGGTTTTAACCCTTGGGTGACCAGCTACGGGCCTTCGGACAACTGTCTGAGTGGTTTGGAACTGTTTCCATAAATATGAAATTACAGAATGATGAACACTGAAGAAAAGAGCAATATCTGTGATCGACTGTCCTGCTTCAATGCGCCCCACAGCACGCCAGCACTCAGAATTTTCCATTCGTCTTCTGGAAGTCATAGAAACACGTATGTCTTGAAAACAAATTGTACGAAAGTTTTAAACACCTTCTATCAGCACTTATGATCAACTTCTGTAACCCTTCATAAAGGTTAAGGCTTCTTATAAGACTGCCTTTTTTGCATATTTCTTGACATGAAAGTGTGATTGGCTGTTACCTAACATATTTACATACTTCCATCTACCTCTGCAGCAAATTGCATCCTCTTCAATTCTGACTGGCTTCTGGAAATTAGCATTTTCCTCTACATGCTTAACTTTTGGAAGTGAGTGTATTTACATTGTTGGCTGATCTTTACTGTATGGTACCCCTTGGTTTCGGTCTGAAAAAAATCGCCAAGTGGTATTGGTTGCTTGTGAAATCTGGAAGCCAACTCAGCAAATAGGTTTTTTGGAAACTCTAATATTGACAATGTTGGCGAAACTAGCCTTAGGGAAAATTATGTTTTTTTTTAAGGGGTTATTTCTGCAAATATCGCTAAGCGACTTGTGATAAATTGAGATATTGACTATTTTTTGTAATAGTAACCCTTTCATTCTTACCATTCTTTTCAATTGCTGTGTTTGGTTCCACGTACATTGATGTTGTATTTTGACATGGGTACCGTCATTTGAGTATGTCTGAAGTAAGAGGATGAATGTTGATGGTTTGGATGCTATTACACGCATTTATCTGCCATTAACAGCAGATGAGCTGAAACGACCAAAAATTTAATTTAATTGCTTATGTGGAGGATGGAGTTAGCATGTGAAAAAAAGAGGTATGTTAAAAAATTGACATTTCATTTATTTTATTTGGCTCTGTGTCTTAATTTTTGTTAAAGGATTTGTTAATGTTTTTATGTTAGGAAATGTGTATTTTTGGTTACTTATTACTCTCTGTTTGTGTATTTTTGGTTATTTGTTCATCTCTGCGTGTTAAGACAGTGGCGAATTTTCTCTGGTTAACATGATAGTTTTAACTTTCTTTTAGCTTCCACATTTTGTTTAAGTGAAAATAGATTGATGTTAACATGGACAAAGTGAAGGCAGTGCATAATTCCTAGTTTGTGCAATTCTCTAACGTTTTTTTTTAAAGTTAAAATAGGTCGATGTGTACATGGACAGCGAATTTGCATAAGACTTTGACTTCTTGTTTTGGTTTTGTGTAGCAGGTAGAAGGATCGACACCATCTTGAAATTAGTGCCGATCATGGCGTCAAAAAGGAAACAATTCACCAAAGGGTACCCTAGAGTAAATTTTAACCACGTTGTTTTAGTACACGTAGCCAGTTTATACTTTTAATATATATTAGTCAGACGATAACAGATGTTTTTCTGATTAAAAGCAAGCCTAATTTCTTAAATGTTCATGTCTCTGAGTTTGATAATAAGATGAATTTCCTTCATACTAATCTTTCATTGGAAAAGTACAACAATATCACAACATATTTTTACCAGTTAATTTAACATAGGTATTATATCTAGACTACTTACATCAGCTTCGGACTCAGGGAAGCTGTGAGGACAGGTTTCCCATGGAACACCCTGTGGTTCAACATACACTGGTTTGCAAACTTCAAGTAATTTTTTCTTTTCAAAATGTGGATCACGTGGATTTCGAGACTGAAAATTTAAGAATCTTGTAAAAATCCGAAAGCCTGAAAAATATTTTAAAATTTTTTATAACATAAAGATGTAGAAATACACACACATATATATATACATAATATTAAAAGCTCTGTGAAAATGCTTCACAGTATTAGTAAAAATAAAGATGGCAATAAGTTTGCATTTATAAATAGCACATGCATTACAAAACTATTTTTCTAATTCCCAGAAGAGCTGTAAGTGATCAGTACATTTATTGTGAGTTAAAAGACATTCTGTAGTGAAAAGTTTAAAAGTTTTAGCAGCTTTTAAGATAAGCGTGTCTTGGCGATTCATTGAGATCTGGGGGCAGACAATACAAATTGGTTTAGTGGCTAGGCTGGACTACTGTTATAGTAATATGTTACTAAACAAGAATACGTTAGTGAAGGGACTTTTGGAGAATACAGTACAAAGTTGGTAATCCGGACGTCCATTATCTGGAATGATCTATAATCCGAACGTCCATTATCTGGAATGATCTAAAATCCGGACCTCAAAGCCACAAACTTACACATGCGAGTAAAGCATTTATGCATGCGCTTTTATGCGCGCACCCGCTACACATGCGCGTAAAGTGTTTACCCATGCGCATTTCTGATAGTGAAAAAAGTGACAGAGAGGTTATTGAAAACGAAAAAATTTCGATTGACAAGTTAGTCGGTATTCTCGACACAGCAATTACAGGACTTGAACAGTGGAACTTTGTAACTGAACAAGAAATTATGTCTGTTTATAGAATTAAAGAGAAAGTATTAGCACAAAAAACAAAGCAACTTAAACAACTTACATTGAAAGAATGTTTAATAAAGTAAACAAATAAATATTAAACTTTTTTTTTTTGTAAATTTTGATACCCTTTAGATCAAATTGCTCTTTATTTCATAAATTATGGTTTCATATTTTTAATTGTATAATTTCTGTATGCCATCTTACCAGATTTAAATTGATGATTTATAAATCGGAAAAACTCCTAATCCGGAATCACCGAAGTCTCGACGAGTCCGGATTACAGATTTTGTACTGTATAGAGAAAATGTATGGTAGTGATCGTGGATGGTGCACGATTGTTTTATTTCACTTGTACCATCCTAACTGCTATACTGCCAAAGCAGAACAGGTAATTGGGATCAGAAATAGGTAAACAATCACAGAAAGCATTATGCGAAGGGAAGACATAGGACTACTTTTTGAATGAATATGATTATTACCTTAGGACAAACTCTATTAATCTTTCGATGCAATCACTTCCCTAAAACAAGAAATTCTTGAAAACTAGTTCTAAAACTAATCTTCAGCCATAGTATTCTGTAACCTCTCAAGATTACCACTCATTAAAATTAAAAATTATAAAACCTACTATTCTGTTAAAATATTTTTAAATGACAAACAACCCAATTATGGAAATCTCACAACGTAATCTGTTAACGTTTCCAGGTGATCATGTCCTTAAAACAACCCCTCATTAAACTGGACATTTATAAAACGCATTATGTTTAATTCTTAGCTTCTTCTGATATGGCATTTTTACATGAAGAACTGAAATATTTTGGTTTACTTATTGAAATGCATTTATTTAATGTATAAGCAGATGCAGTCAAGTTTGCAAGCAATGCAATATATGTTTGACTTGATATAAAAAATCAGTTGAAATCCTTGCATGTGATGACTTTCTTTACAAGTATGTTCAAAACATTCTTATTTTGAGAAATCAACTACTTGAAAATAAGCTAATGTATGTTAGTATTACTAAGATGGTGATATATTTCATGTATATATCAGCATATAAATTTACAATAAAGCTTCAAAATTGAATATTAAATTTCTAAAAAATGGCATATAATCCTCATAAACCTAATTTTATGAAATAAGCTTTTTTACATAAACTTTGGCAGAATGTGTGCAAAAAATCTTCATAACCTATTTTCATTTAAAAAGTCAAAGAAAACTGACAAAATCCAATTCCTCTTATTCTTGTAAAAAGCGCCAAACAAATAAGTGGGCGATACTGCATTTAACCCCAAAATGTGCCAAAATTTTTGCCAAAGAATTCAAGTCAGAATGAAGTCAGTAACAGAAAATCCAGAATTCGCTCTCTTTTTAGGCCTTCATTTGTTTTGTACTAATTTTTCATGTTCATTGTTTATATGAAGTATAAGGTAAGTACTCTTAAAGTAACAAAAGAATGGACTACGTTCATATCAGGATGATTTGTCCCAACAACAAAAAAAAGGAACTCGGCAACATTTCTATGCTTATGATAAATGAGAACACTATTTTATAATTTCAATTAGGTGTATGCGGAAAGATGGATGCAATATAAGTATAAATACAAAACTGAAGCAGTGAACACACGACACAGTAACGATGTTTAACATCAGAAATAGCCAAAACAAAAAGACAGAGTTAAAATAACCTACAAAAAATGAAAACTGTTGCTTATACCTGAAGGGCACAAAATCTGCGTTGCTTTTGTTTTGATGCTATACATCATACTAATAAAGTTCTCTTCTCCAAATGATTATGGCAAGAAGTAAAATTAATCAATGTACTCACGATATTTCTATGCTCAAAATATTAATATCACATAAATACAACGAAATACTTAAATCCCTTAAAGTCAAAATCTGATACACATCATGTATTATAAATTTAAAATGAAAATTCACCCAACAACACAATACACAAAACTCATTATTGCTGCACCCAAAACCTTAAATCTTTCTATTCGACGGATGAATAAAAGTTTTTTTTAAAGTGCCTCCGTCCCCTAAATCGCGAGTGTCAAGATGTAGAATGCTCAGATATTAAATAAATGAAGTTGCGCACAGAGAAATTTTGATAGAGAGAATTATTTATTTATTGCAAAGAGAATTATTTAATCTCTTGTTAGTATTAAACTATATGATGAATTATTTTCTTCTTTGAGTTCATTTATTATTTTGTGAGTTTTAAATTGATTAATTTTTATTTTGGCTGCCTTCTTTTTTGTGCGGCTTTTCAAATCGACCATTTTTTTTCTTGTTGTCCAGTCCTTTTGACTCCTAACCCAACAGAGTTCAGAATCTCCGCAATTTCACTCCATGCTTCTTTTTGTTCATTTAAATTATTATATGATTTTCCTAATTCTCTACTAACAATTTCTTTGTAACTCTCAAGAGAGTTTACGAGAACTTCCAATTCTCGCACAGAGAAATTACTTGATTTTTGCATGATTTTAACCGAAAACGAGACGCTAATATTCACGTTCCCTTCGCTTATCGAACAACGTGACATCTTGACACTCGAGAATAAAATACGATCTGTGTGAGTTTGTTTACAGGGATACACAATTTCATTGGATAACAACTTCTGTTCATCGGTTATGCTTTCCTAGCTGGAGAGATAGCTGGTTTCCAATTGCTATTTTGACGTCATCAGTTGCGAGAGGGCAAAAGCGTCGCATCTGAATTCGCTTTGCTAGGCTCTGTTAGGAACGCCCTACTGCGATGAAGAAACTGCGATTAGCAAAGCGTCGCGCTTGAATTCGCCCCAAAAGCTTATTTCATAAATATTATTCGCTTTCTTTAGTTTTCATCCTTTTAGTCGCAATAAACGTAATCAATTAAGTTTTTAAGCTGAACCATCATTTCAGGGAATCAGGAAAAAGTATGAGATATTTCGTCGACTGATGGCGGCGACTTTTACTTTCGTCTTTTTTTTAACTGATGTTCTTCACGTGATACAGAGTAAACGGAGGCGCTGCTTTCTGAAACTCAAATTCACTATATGTTCTTAGTAATATAGCTGTACATTCCAGTGAATTTTACCTCTTCTGGTAAATGGAATTGCAATTAATTTATGAACATTCGCTTGAATATGCCACTTAAGGCGTACTGAGACGCTTTGCTAATCGCAGTAGGGAGCTTCTAAAAGAGCCTAGCAAAACGTAGTTGATACGTAGATGTTTGTACTGGGTTTCCACAGCGTTTAGCTGCACCTTCTAGTAACCTAAAAGTAGTGCACAAGGGGCCTTATGATGAAAAACATGAATAGAATCCCCTAACAGGAAAACATCAGGAAGAATCCAAGAAGAAGCAGTACTATCTTCTTGAATAGCTGAAAACACATAACTGGAATCGGGCGGCATAAGTGTCGCCATCTGACAGTGAAGAAAGCGATGATAAGACCGCCAAAACAGGATGGCGAAGACAGAGTCGCTGAGAATCGTGAGACGGCAAATCAGGAAACAGGGAGACAGCAAATCAGGAAGGCGCAAAAGCCGTGACTTTTGTCGATGAATCGTAGTTCACCGCGTAAGAAAATCACATTTCTTATTGCATTTTCAAAAACTTTAAGAATTTAAAAATTCTTTCAAATATTTCAAGCACTGTAAGAGCCAGTTTTAGCTTCTGAAATGGGAATTTTGTAGCTTTGCATTTATGTGCAATGTCCTTGATGCTAGAAAGGGTTTTGCTGAAGTCCTTAGAGTCCAGTAGACCAGAAACAGGAGATGAACTGGGAAGATACCATTCCTTAGCTATAGGCAGAGACATGGATCTTGATTTTTGAAAGCGTTTTGATGACTTCTGAGTAAGTTTTTCGTTGCGAGCTTTAGGAAAGTGTTCGAAACCTTTAAAAGAAGAAACATGATCTTTTTTGCAACGGACACATGTCGGTTTAGCATACCTTGAAAGTTTGTACGTGTAAGTCAGGTGGTTTCCAGAACACTTGAAACACTTGAGACAGCGTGGACTGCTGCAAAAAATATAAAATAATAATAATAATAAAAACGATCATGTCCAAATCTCTAGCAAAGCGAATTCAGCTACAACGCTTGTACCCTCTCGCCCCTGATAACGTTAAAACAGCAGTTGGAAACAACAGAAAGCATAACTGATCAACAAAAGCTATTACATAACGAAATTGTGCATGCCTGTAAACAAAGTCGTGTCTTTCGATACGCAAAGTGAATTTGGATTATATTGTGCATTTGCGTTAAAATTCATGCTATGATCGAGCAATTTCGCCGTGGGAGAGTTGGAAGATCTTGTTAATTCCCTTGAGAGTTACAAAAACTTCTGTGTGGGGAATTAAGAAAATTGTACGCTAATTTAAATGAACAAACAGAAGCAGGGAATGGAATTGCTGAGATTCTATACTCTGTTGAGTTCGGCGTCAAAAGGACTGAGCAGCAAGTAAAAAGCAACTGCATAGCTTTGAAAAGCTACTCAAAAATGGGCGAAAATAAATTAATCATTTAGGTACAGAAGGAAGGGAGGGCAGGTATGAATGAGAAACTTTAGTATATTGAAGAACTTTCCCAATGGGGAAGACTTATGTTGAAGTTATCACTGCACTGCAATTTGATACTAGTGTACAATGCATAATAAATGCAAGCATCCTTTGAATTTTATATTGTGTTAATTTCAGATATATAAGTTTCATTTTTTCTCATGTGTTTCTCATACTTAAGATTTTTCTGCTATTCGGGGTATTTTTAATCTTATGAATGCCATTGATAAATAGACAGAAAACTGAAAAGCAAGTATGATATTCATAACTGACTGGAACTTCTGACAAACATTTGATAAAATAGTTATAAGTTACTAAATGCTCTTTTCTAGTTCTTAGCACCTGTATTTAAATTTAACTCCTTCGAGCCGGGTATCGAAAACGCGCGCTTATCGCTGAGGCCGGCAGTGTCTTACGCGAGCGTCTCTCCAGGGCCGGGGGCTTTTTTGCAACTAAGCCTAAATCCATGAAATTTCCGAAGTATCAACGCATTGTTTAATAATGCTCTATAGAGTATTTAAACGGCTTGTGCTTTATAGATATTTATGTATATATACTTTAATTAGCTTATTTCTTGTTTAAATGCATATTTTACACATTTTATTTTAATTATTCACCATTTTATGAATTTTAACATACCTCTGAAACTAAATATTTCGTGCGTACGGGTTCGTATGAAAGAATGCACAGTCCGATGAAATGAACAAAATTTATTATTACACAACAAAATGCTTAATTTCCAAAATCATGCAGTATACAATATCTCACAGTAGTTATCTTTTAACTACTCAAATGTCCAATAGAACGAATTCAAAACAGCTAAAGAACGCTAATCCGCGAATTCGCTACATCAACCACAGTAGTTTTCTAAACAACAACAAAAACAAACAACTACTACAAACTGAGATGTTTTCCTCCTTTTATAAGATTTTAAAAAATAGTTTTTTTCCAGTACTTTCTCGAAATCAAGGGATATTTATTATTTTAATGCACGCGCTCTTGTATTTTCAATTAAAACTTAGCTTAAGGTAGGCGAACTAACAGCCGCGAAAACCAAAACCATTTACCCGTCCCAATGGAACTAACTCCCAAATACCAAATCCGTACCAAGCCCCCTTCCAAGGACTGCAAACCCGGAGGCAAAACAATTACATATCAAACATAAACAAAATGGCAATAACACTTAAAAACAATCAAATGCTAACTCAAACCTAAGCAAAACAAAACTAAATACAAATAAATACAAATCAAATACAAATCAAATACTAAATCAAATCAAATCAAATACAAAAAACAATGGACATGGTTATACCACTGATCTATTTACATTATTTACATTATGTACTATGGCCATAGTGAGCTAACCTGTCGAATGAACGACTTTAGGTTTAGAGTTCGAAGACTTTACGAATCCGAACCACGACGTCATTCAGTCTTTTAGGACTGTATACGGGCCATCCAAGGGACTGTAATTTCGGACAAAGTCCTTTCCGTCGGTCGGATTCCACAACCACCCTTGTCTCCTTCGTGGAACTGATGTTCAGTAGCTCTTGTGTCGTAGCGGGTCTTCATCTTCTCCGTCGCCAAGTTGACTCGCTTTCGTGCGGAACGGTGCATCACTTCAAAACGGGCCTTGACATCTGGATGTGTTCCTCAGGCGATGTAAGGCGCATCCGTACGGCGATGAACAGGCGGCACAAGGCAGACGAAGGTCTCGACCGAAGAGCATTTGAGATGGAGAATAGCTGGTAGTCTGGTGTTTCTTTTCGACCCTAGCATTTTTCGGCTTGTTCTTCGAGCTGGATTCTTTCGGACAAAGGCGGCATTTCCAGGTGAGGATCCCTTAGATGGATGGATAGTCATGCCAGATCCTGAAAGCAGTTTTGTTTTTAAGTCTAAGGAAAATTGTTTCCTTAAAAAGTCCAATCCGAGTATGCATGGGATCTGTAATCCGCCACATATGCCGTGTGATGGTAGGCGGCACTTCCAAATGTGATTTTCACGTTAACTTCCAGCAGATGTCGATCTTTTCACCAGACGCAGTCTGAAGGGTAACACAGGATGGCGTCCAAATAAGTTTATCTTTAAACTGTTCAGCTAAATCTTTCCTAATGATGGTAACATTAGCTCCTGTGTCAATGATCATATTGCAAGGAACTCCATCAATATTCCCATTGATGGACAGTCCGTTATTGTTGCCACTCACTATAGAGATCTTAAGCGCTTTAAAACAGGGTTTTCATTATCTGGCAACCTCCGTTCCTTGATATGGTCATTAATTTGTTTCCTGCGTCGTTGCTCAGAAATTCTCAATTTTCGTACCCTGGGGTGTTCTGCAATTCTTTCGTACGTGGCCTTCAGCTCCACAGTTCCAGCACTTTGGTTTCTTGTCAGTCCTTTCCTTCCCGTGGCATTTAATTGTCTGTTTAAATCGTATGCCTTATTTTCC